AGGCTTTTATATACATATATATATATATATATTGTGCCTGGTACCAGAAATAATGCCTATTCCTACTGGCCAAGCTTAAAAAAAAAACCCTCAAAACTCAGAATATATGGGGTGTTATAGTGGGAAATAATTAGACCTAGACAGACGACTGTTCCAATCATAAAAGGAAGACCCAAAATGGATCTAACTTTCCAAATAATTTAACTACATATCAGAATAAAGATGACTTATAGAAATATAAAAATATGTGGCATCCAATAAGATAAAATTGACAAAGCCAGCCATCCAACCAAAGACTAGCAGACATGTAAAAAAAGCAGGAAAATATAACCAAAATTGAGGAGCTATATCAACCATTCAAATCTGATCCAAAACTGATAGATGCCAAAATCAGGGACATGGACATTAAAAGTTATTAAAAATGTACTCTACTGATTCAAAAGCTAACTAAAAATATAGAAGATGCAAGAAAAAAAAGAGAAAAAAAAAGAAGCTCTAATCAAGTTTATAGAGCCCCAAATGACAATGTCTGAGATAAAGAATTAACTGGATGAGATTAATGGCAATTAGACATTGCAGAAGATTAGTAAACTTAAAGACACAGAAATAGCAACTATACAAAATGAAATACAGAGAGAAATAGGAATTTTTAAAATGAAAAAGCACATTGAGCTGTGGGAGGATTTCAAGCAGCCTAATATATGTATAATAGGAGCCTATAAAGAAAAGGAGAGAATGACCCAGAAAAATTAGTTAAAAAATAATGGCTGAAAATTTTCTGTATGATGGAAACTATATTCACAAATCCAAGAATTTCAGTGAACACCTAACATAAGAATCATGAAGAAAACCACACAAAGGCATATCATAATCAAATTATTGAAACCAATGATATTGAAAATCTTAAAAGCAGCCAGAGAAAAAAGACACATTACATACAGAGGCATAAAGAAAAAGATGACAGCAGATTTCTTGTCAGAAATAATGCAAATGAGAAGAAAATGAAGCACCATCTTTAAAGTACTGAAGGAAAAAAATCAACCTACAAAAACCACTCAGTACAAATACCTTTCAAAAACAGACAAAATAAGATTATTTAATTTAATTTATTTTATTTTATGTTGTTGTTGTTAATCCTCATCCGAGGCTATTTTTTCATTGATTTTTAGGGAGAGTAGAAGAGAGAGGGAAAGACAGAGAGAAACATCAATGTGAGAGAAACAAGCCCCAATAGGGGCAGAGCCTGCAACCAAGATATGTGCCCTTGCCCAGAATAAAACCTGAGACCTTTTGGTTCACAGGCTGATGCTCTTTCCACTGAGCCAAACCAGCTAAGGCTAAGATTATTTTAGACATAGGAAAGCTGAAAGATTTAATCATCAACAGATCTGCACCACAAGAAATGGTAAAGAAAATCCTTCAGGCAAAAGAAAAATGACACCAGATGAAAATAATGTATCTACACAAAGAAATAAAAATGAAAGCATGTATTTACATATAGGGATGTGACAATGATATCTCCACTGCTAAATATGTAAGAGTTTTAAAAAATTTGAAATGTCTTTAAAACTAATTAACTTTTTAGACAAAAATAACACTATCCTATATAATAAAAGGTTAATATGCAAATAGACCAAACGGTGGAATGACTGGTTGCTATGATGTGCACTGACCACTAGGGGGGCAGATGTCCAATGCAGGAGCTGCCCCCTAATGGTCAGTGCACTCTCACAGGGGGAATACCACTCAGCCAGAAGCCGGGTTCCTGGTTGGTGAGCACAGCAGTAGTGGCGGGAGCCTCTCCCGCCTCCATGGCAGCACTAAGGATGCCCAACTGACAGCTTAAGCCTGCTCCCTGTCAGTCAGACATCCCCCAAGGGCTCCTGGACTGTGAGAGGGCACAGGCCGGGCTGAGGGAACCCTTCCCCCCTACCGAGTGCATGAATTCATACACCAGCCTCTAGTGTTTTATAAAATAGGTGTAAGAAAAATGTATAATAAGAACATAAAACTAAAAAGGCAAAATGGAAGTATATTATTGTAAGTTTCTTATACTGTATATTAAGTGCTGAATATTACTTAAACGTAGACTATAAGTTAAAAACCTGTATATGGATGTTCATTGCAATTCATGTGTAATAGCCAAAAACTGAAACCAATCCAAATGTCTATCAACACAGGAATGGATAAACAAATTAGAGTAAATTAATATAATAGGATCTATCAACAATATAAAGAAATGTTGATTCGTTCAACAAAATGGATGAATCTTAAAATAATTGTACCAAGAGAAATGAACCAAAGAGCACACACTGTATGATTACATTTATATAAACTCCAGAAAACACAAACTAATCTACAGAGTCAGAGAACAGATCAATGGTTGCCTGGTGGTGATGTGGGCCAAGACAGATTACAAAGCACACAAACTTTTAAGAGTGATGAATATCTTGATTGTGGTGGTGATTTCTTTCACATATGTAAAACTTATTAAATTGTACACATTAAAATACGTGTAATTTATTTACATAAACTATTCTTCAATAAAGCTGTTTAAAAAACAATTTTGGACTTAAATTTAGGTTAAAAACAAAAATATTTAGACTACCTACAGTGCTCTGGCTCCACAGAGTAAAAATAAAATAGATGAAAACTACAACTAATAAAATATTTATAATTTTTAAGGGTTAAGTTGTATCATAGAAATAAACTACTCAAATACTTTCTTATTAAAGACTGGAGGCCTGGTACACAAAATTCGACATGGGTAGGGGTTCTAGGCTTGGCCAGTGATCAGGGCCAATTAGGGCCTTCTGGCTGCTGGCCAGGGCCTTCCTTTCCTGTCTGCTAATTGCTGGCCAGGGCCTCCCTTCCTTGGCTGCCAGCCGAGGCCTGCCTTCATTCCATGCTACCCCCTGGTGGTCAGTGCATGTCATAGTGAGTAATAGACCTGCTGGTCTCCTAGTACTCCGGAGGGAACCCTTCCACATTAGCCTTTTATATTCTATGTAATCTACACTAACAAAAGCCTAGGTGGCCTTTGTGTGTGAAGTCATCACAAGATGGCCACCACAAGATGGCTGCGTGCACAGCAGAGGTGGTGCCTGGTGGCTGCTCTGCAGAGAGGCCTGGGGGTCCTGCAGCTCCACACAGCATGGAGGTGGACAGCCCTGGGGTCTCCGTTGCATTATGCAAAGGAGGAAACGGGTCATGGCAGGGAAGGGCAGTTGTGGGCAATCAGGCTGGCAGGGGAGGGTGGGCGATCGGGCTGGCAGGGGAGGGCAGTAGGAGTCAATCAGGCTGCTTAGGGGGCAATCAGACTGGCAGACAGAAGCAGTTGGGGGCAATCAGGCAGGCAGGTGAGCAGTTAGGAGCCAGCAGTCCCCAGTTGTGAAAGGGATGTCCGACTGCTGGTTTAGGCCTGATCTAGTAGGATTGGACATCCCCCAAAGAGTCCCAGATTGAAGAAGAGGGTGCAGGCTAGGCTGAGGGACACCCCCCCACCCTGCACAAATTTCATGCACTAGCCACTAGTCTATAATAATAAAAGTGTAATGTGCTAATTCAACCAGACTTCCTTCTGGATGAAGCCAGGGCTGCGATGGAAGCCCAGGTCCCGGGTGTCAGAGGGAAGCTGATGCTGGCAGCCGGGGGAAGGAAGGCTACTCTTGCATGAATTTCATGCCTCGGGCCTCTAGTATATAATAAAAGCCTAATATGCAAATTGTCCCCTGGGCGGTCATTTGACAAGGAGATTGGGAGTTGCACTGCTTGCTCTGACGTGTAATAATCACCAGGGGGTGGTGTGGAACATGGCGGGTGTCGGCAACGCATTGCTGGCAGCAGGCAGCAGTAGAGGCGCTGCTGGCCCCAATGGATTCTGACGAGAGTAGGACCACAGCAGGATGGTGGAGCTGGTGAGCATGTGGCGACAGGCCACAGTGGGTGTGAGTGGGGGCCTGATTACCCGCCCAATCACCCCTCAGATGGTGACCAGTGGCGGTGATGGGGGGCGGGACCGCTGCCTGGCTCCTAGGTGCTGAGGGAGCCAGGTGGGGTGTTTGGCCCTGATCAACTGCCCCTCAGGCGGGACGGTGGAGCAGGTGAGGAGGTGGCGCCAGGCCATGGTGGGGTGCCAGTCAGGGCTGCCAGGCTGGAGATGTGAGCTGGGACCCCATCCCTGCAGACCACCCTGAGGGATCCCACCCATGTATGAATTCAGGCACCGGGCCTCTAGTATATAGATAAAAGATATCTCAGAAAATTTGTGACTTGCCCAAGGTTTTACAGCTTCAGATAAGGGCTTACTAAAATGTTTAAGATCCACAATGGCAGGAATTGTGTTATCTAAGCCACCACTGTATGCATATGCTTTTTATCTAGTACAGTGCCTGGGACATGGTAAGAGCTCAATAAATATTTGTTAAAAAGAGGGTAAAAATGAAGATAAAAGGAAAGGAAATCTCCCTTGAAATATGACTGAAAGTGTCTCCCTATCTTCAAGTTTCTAATCTCTTTAACACAGATGAGAAAATTAAGCAGTATCTTTAATATCATAAGTAGAAGAGAAAGAATTATATTCCATATTTTTAGCTTATTGGATATTTTATTATATTTGATGGTTAAAATTTCTAATTCATGTTACTAACTCTTGAACAGGCAGAAGAATAGGAAATACTCCATTTATGAAATTAATGAAAATTTTAAGTTTTAATCCTCACCTGAGGATATGTTTTTATTGATTTTAGACAGAGAGGGAGGGAGGGAAGAAAGAAAGAGGGAGAGTTAGGGAAATATTGATGTAATAGAGAAACAATAATTGGCTGCTTCCCCTACACCCCCCAACAGGGGATTGAACCCACAACCTATGTATGTGCCCAGACTGGGAATCGAACCCCCAACTTTTATTTTGGTGTTTGTGGTGACATTCCAACAACATGAGCCACCAAAAGGCCAGAGCGACATTTTCAAATTTTGAAAAATTAAGGAAACGTGCTTACCAAAAATTTCTCCATTTTTGGCATATTCTGTCACAAGGTACAACATGTTTTTGGTCTCCATTACCTATTGATAAATAATTCCATATTAGTTTGACAGGAAAGAACTGCAGTTTGCCACAACATTTGATAGAGTTATTTAAAACTACTAATAACAGTGTCAAAATTATGAACAATTCAGAAGCTGGCAAAGTACAAGACACAATATCCTCATGCTAACACCTTTGTGAAAAATCTAGATCCCTGCTCTTCCAAGTGTCACCTCGGACCAGCAGCAGCAGCACTGAAATAAATGTAGGCTCTCAGGTCCCACCCAGACCTACTGACACAAAATTTATACCTTTTAACAAAATCCCCAGGTGGTTATTAGGCACATTCAAGTTTGAAAAATGCTAATATAGGTAACTGTAGTTTTGAAGTTCAGTTTTTTTTTTTTACCATCTCCTCACTGACTTTTCTAGCCCTGGGTGATATGGGAGATTCTGATCAAGGAAAGGAGACTAAAATACAGCTCAGTTTATCTGGCACAATGCAATATTCCTCCTACTTTACATTAATACTGTAACATAGTAGTATTATTTTAAAACATTTTTCAAACGTTTCTTCATAACTCCACCGCTACACACACTTTTATTTAAATTAGTTTTCCTAGGTCCAGAAAAGAAGCCTGTCATTGCCATAAACTTGATTTTTCAAACTATACTGAACCGAAAAGAAATGAATTTACAGATTCTAAATTGATTGAGTTTTAGATTGCCTCTCTGTAACACTCGATCATTTTATATACTGGCACATACTAATAGCATGAAATTGAGCCGCTATCTACTAAAAAGCTGAAGCAAATTTGCTCTAACTTGTAGGTATAGGATTATTCCCTGTTAGATCAGAAAACTAAGAGCCACCTACAATTTGGGCCTAAACAGCAAATCAATTTACCTGATCATTTAGTTCAAATAAACATAGAATTATCATATGAAGCTTCATGCTTTAACCTCAGTTTGGCTTATGGTTCATCAGAGACTTCTAAGAATGTGATTATTTTCTTATAAGTATCTTCTTCAATTTCTTTAAAAAAAAGTGTAAAGAGGCATGGCTGCGTGGCTCAGAGGTTGAGCATCAATCTATGAACCAGGAGGTCACGGTTCAATTCCCAGTCAGGGCATATACCTGTGATGCAGGCTGGATCCCCAGTGGGGGGCGTGCAGGAGGCAGCCCATCAATGATTCTCCCTCATCACTGATGTTTCTGTCTCTCACCACCTCTCCCTTCTCTGAAACCAATAAAAAGTATATTTACAAAATAAAAAAAATTAAAGTGTAAAGGGAGAAATATTCTGATATACTCTACATTTGACCTAAGAGGGCCTCTATGGTTTTAGAACTTCAGGAATTGTTTTGAGTGGCACACCACAGTCTTTCATTTTTAGGTAATGATAATGCTAATGGTCCTACACCTCTTTAACTGCAAATTTCTATCAATAAAAAGTTGTTTAGCCGGGACCGATTTGGCTCAATGGATAGAGCGTCGGCTTGGAGACTGAGGGGCCCTGGGTTCGATTCCGGTCAGGGGCATGTACCTTGGTTGCGGGCATGCCCCCGGTGGGGGGTGTGCAAGAGGCAGCTGATCTGTGACTCTCTCCCATCGATGTTTCTAACTCTCTATCTCTCTCCCTTCCTCTCTGTACAAAAATCAATAAAATATATTTTAAAAAAAGTTTAGCTAAATATATATATGTATATTTGCATTACATATGTATACGTAAAATATGTATCTGTATTTTGAATATATACATAAAGAGATACAAATTACATACAAGTGCCACTGTCTAAATACAGTAGGTCCATATAGTCTTGTAACATGTTAGTTTAAAACTAATTTTCCAATATAAATATTCCACATCTTAATGAATTAAATTATTACAAGTATTTGGTATTACATTACCATTCCTAAAGATGAAATACTCTTTAAAAATATGAGAAAAATCTTCCTTTTAACAAACATGGTTTATACTTAAAAAGGGTGCAGTTTCTACAAAAATTATATCTTAATAAAGTTGTTTTTTTTTTTAAAAAATGGCTCAGTTACTTTATCTAATATAACAACCCAAACAAAATATAAGATTTGGTTCTAGGTATTACCAAATATGTCACTAAGTAATATACCATTTTTGGCCTTTGTATTTTATAAAACAATAACAATATACAATATTTTTTAAATAAGCAAAATTCTCATGTCCTAATTAATAATACCACCACCAAAACTCAGCAGGTTTAAGATGGTATCACAAATGCACAACTGTAAGCTTTTAATTAAAATTTTTTTAAAATTTATTTTTATTGATTTTAGAGAGGAAGGGAGAGAGAGAGATAAAAACACCAATGATGAGAATCATTGATCAGTTGCCTCCTGCACACCCCTACTGGGTATTGAGCCCAAAACCCGGATATGTGCCCTGAAAGGGAATTGAACCATGACCTCCTAATGCATTTGCCGATGCTCAACCACGAGCCATACCGGCCAGGCAAGCTTTTTAAATAAATAATTACAGTCTGAGAGACAAGTTAAAATTAAGCTATGAGTGTTTACTTTCCTAATTTTTTATTTGAATATAGAAAGATGGTTGTACTCAGCTTAGTAAAAATATGACATCATCCTTTTTTTTTTAATACGTTGAAAAAACTATCACAAAAGAGAAAAACAATTATACAAAATAGAGAACTGAATGTGAGAAGCATGGAGAGTTGTAAGGCTAAGTCATACCTGATAAAGTTTGATTATGTGAGGATGGTCTAGCATTTTCATTATTTGTACTTCTCGGTAGATTTTCTCAAGGTTCACTGCATCCAGCTGAGATTTATCTATAATTTTTATCGCCACCTGCATCCCATATACAAATAAATGCAATTAGTATAGAATGGTTAACATTTTCCAGTTAGAATCTTTTTAATAAATGACATCTGAGACTTCGCCTGTTCATTCCTATTACAATGCTAATAGCTAGATTAAGTTCAATGCTCATTTATTCATTCAACAAATAGTTCTTAAACATCTAGGTACTATGTGTAAGACACTGGTAGAATTTGTTTGGTAGTGTCTTCAGTGTGCAATGAAGAATAACCCTACAAAGTTACTTTAATAAAACATATTTCTCTTTAAATACAAATGTAATACCTTTGTACTCCATTTATAAATTAAATAAAATCTCAGTAGTTTCAACTAGTTATTATCCCACCACTTATTAAGTACCTATAAATAAATGATCAGCCAAGTAGAGGACAGTTTCTATTGTACTAAAATAATAGAAAAAAGGCTAAGTGACCGACTGGCCAGTACATATGATGCACACTGGCAATTTAAAAATAAACATTGACTCGCACATGCGTGATACATATAAAGCTCTTGCTGGCGCCAATCGCGTGTGTTGCTTTGTCTTGAGTTGGAAGAGGGTGTGATGTTAAAGTTGTAAATACTTCATCACAAAGGAAATTAGTCAAGCTCTCTGAAAGTATTTTTACTCTTAATGTGGTATAATGGGAGAAATTTGAATAAGTTAATCAACTTATCAGTCATTGTTTTTATCAGTTGTTTTTGTATCATGGTTTTGTTGTTTTTATATCATGTCTTTGTTCTTATATCCTGTTGTTTATTTATTAATCAATTTTTATATTATTTTCATATACATTTTACTAATTTTCTTTCATCTCTGAGACTTCTATGTTAGAGAAAGGGCGAATAGCGATATTAAAATATTTCTTCAAATTAATTTCCTTTTAATGTGCAGGAATCCATGCACTGGGCCACTAGTTTTTCTAGAAAAGCCAAGTGATAGGTTCAAAAGCTAAATATAAATTATCAAAATTCGGAGAAACCAAGATGGCGGCATAGGATAGACACCCGAATGCAGCCTACCACAACAAATTTGAATTTAGAACTGAAAAACAGGGGAGGCATTGCCCTGAAGCACCAGACGGCTGGCTGAGAGGAGGTTCTGCCATCTGGGAAGAAGAGAGAAGGCACGCTGAACCTCAGGAACTGTGAAGGTACGGAGAACTGTGTGCGCGAAAAGGCGCTGGCTTAATCCCGGTGCGGAGAGGAAGGGCCGGACTGAGATTGCTGCTGGCTTACTTCCTGCACGCAGAGAGGGCGGGCCGGGCTGAGTTCCTACTGGCTTACTCCTGGCGTGGAGAGGGCGAACAGCTAACGCGGCTGGCTTTCTTGTCCGAGAGGAAAACAGAATCACTCTATTGCTCTGATAAACGGCCCCAGACAGGGAGAGGCCAGACTGTCAGGCAGTGGGCAGAGATCTCTTGGAGGTGTGTGAAGCCAGAGGCCATTACTGCGGGACTTGGGGAGGAGCCGAAGGGAAAACAAAGTTTGTCTGCACCAACCCGAGACTCCGCCCTACCTGTGGCTAAGCACAGAAGCTCTCCCAGAGGCTGGCTTTCTCTAAGGAGGGACTTGCAGGAATCCAAAGCTTGTCTGCGCCTTTACCAAAGAGGTGCGCGCGCGCCTGCAACCAATCTTCCAAAACTCTCCACGAACAGGACTTTTCTAAGGCGAGACTGACAGGGAACCAAAGATTGTCTGCGCCACCCCGAGACCCTGCCCTATTCAAGCAGAGTACAGAAACCCTCCTAGCTGAGTCACTGCTGATCCTCAGCCAATTGGCTTGGAGATCAACGCTTCCCAGTGATACCAACAATAAGCAAGGCTTAACACCAAGACTGTCCACTGCAGGTAACTGGGAAGGCTGTGCTACTGGGCTCTACCAGAACACCTAGTACACACAGCTATTCCATCAAATCAGGGAAACAACTATAATAAAATGCAGACAAGAAGGACACAAAGGAAGGAGATGGAGGAAAAGAAAAGATTGGACATTGAGTTCAAAACTACAGTTACAAGGTTATTCAACAATATCCTAAAAAAGGCCGATAAAATAAATGAGACCTATGAGGATATGAAAAGGGAGCAACTAGAAATAATAAGGGATCAACAAGAAATGAAGAAAACATTGTCTGAAATAAAAAATATTATACAAAGTCCTAAAAACAGACTGGAAGATCGCAAGAATCAAGACAAAGATTTAGAACATAAAGAGCCAGAGGACACTCCTCTGCAGAAGGGAGAAGATAAAAGAATCCAGAAAGTTGAAGATAGTGTAAGAAACCTCTGGGACAATTTCAAGCGAACTAACATCAGAATTATGGGGATTCTAGAAGAGAGAGAGCAAGATACCGAAAGAGTACTAGAAGAAATAGTGACAGAAAACTTCCCCCACCTGGGGAAAGAAATAGACTTACAAGTCCAGGAAGCCCGCAGAACCCCAAACAAAAAGAATCCAAGGAGGACCACACCAAGACATATCATAATTAAAATTCCAAGAGCAAAAGACAAAGAGAGAATATTAAAAGCAGCAAGAGAAAAGCAGGTAGTGACCTATAAAGGAGCACCCATAAGATTGTCAGCTGATTTCTCAACAGAAACCATGCAGGCCAGACGGGAATGGCAAGAAATATTCAAGGTGATTAATAACAAGAACCTACAGCCAAAAATAATCTACCCAGCAAAGCTATCACTCAGAATCAAAGGACAGATAAAGAGCTTCACAAATAAAAAAAAGCTAAAAGAGTTCATCACCACCAAACCAGAATTATATGAATTGCTGAAGGAGGTTATTTAGGAAGAGGAAGAAGATAAAGATAAAAATTATGATCAACAAATACGTAGCTATCAACAAGTGAATCTAAAAACCAAGGGAATTTAAAAATCTGATGAACAATATTAACTGGTGAATATAATAGAATCAGAGGTATGGAAGGGGAGTGGACTGACGATTCTCAGGGAAACGGGGAGTGGGGGTGCGGGAAGAGACTGAACAAAAACTGTGCACCTATGGATGAGGACAATGGGGGATGGGGAAAGGACAGAGGGTGGGGTGGGAACCTGGTGAAGGGGAGCAATTGAGGGGGGGAAGAGGATCACATTTGTAATAATCTGAACTATAAAGATTTATTTAAAAAAATAAATTATCAAAATTCATCTCCATAAAGCTACTGATTGGATTAAAATTTTTAAAATATATTTTTATTGATTTCAAAGAAGAGAGAGGGAAAGATAGAAACATCAATGATAAGAGAGAATCACCGATTGGCTCCCTCCTGCATGCCTCCCACTGGAGACTGAGCCCGCAACCCTGGGCAGGTGGTCCTGACCAGAATCGAACCTGGGACTCTCCCCCCCTACCACCACCCGGGTCCACAGGCCAACACTCCATCCACCAAGCCAAACCAGCCAGGGCTGGATTAAATTTTGTTCTAAAAATCAAAGTGCAAAAACTCAAATGTTAGTACTTACACTAAATTTTTACTTCATAAAGGAATCGGATTTTTAAAAATGTGGCCTCTTCCTATTATAACTAGATAGGAAACCAAACCCTCCCAAGGTTAATAATTTGAAGGAGATGCAGTTGAAGGTGAACTAGGTAATCAGAAATCAACAATCATGTACCTATTTTTCATGCAACAGCAACCCCCCCCCCCCAATTTTTAAAAATTAGTATGTATTTGGTAGGAAATAAGCCATTCTGACTTAAATAAAATAAAATTTTCAGTTAATTAGACACCACCCAAATTTAATTATAATAAGTCCTGAAGAAACTCTAAAAAGTACTTCTATCCTATGTATGTATTCTGAACATAATTCAGTTTTATGTTGTTTCAGGGAAATGTTTAAAAATATACTGTATGTGCAGAATAGTTTAAGACTCTTAAAAGGTATCTAATAGGACTCAGATTGTCAATTCCCTCAGACTCTTGTTGATACAATTTTTTTTCCTTCTTTCCTTATAGTTACTCTGTCCTTTGTCTCTCTACTGTAAGGTTTATTTCTTACCTTTGTCTATTTCTAATTTTCTGTCACAGCTTGTTTCCTGATTTGAGTTAATTGCAATCCACAGAAGAACTCAAGTTCCCACGGGAAATCAGATTACTTAATATATTCATAAAACTAAATTTTTGCCTAAGAAGAAAGGGGGTAGAGCTTCTTTGCTAGGCAGTTTTGTGATAGCTATTTTGATGTTTGTTAGTATTATGCTTCTGTAATCAAAATATTCTAGAAAGTAGAAAGTGCTAAACTTTGCTAGAAATGAGACTATAGGCACAGTTACTATCATTTACTTTGGGTAAAAGCTGACAGGTAAAAAGATAATTCTATACTTGAACATTTTCAATATTCTTTAGGAAGGTAACAATATTCTTTAGGAAGGTAACAAGGTAATATTTTGTCTCCCCATGTTAGCCGTCCCTTTATATTTGCTTCTATGTGTTAGATAAAACTGTTCTGCCTCCCATTCTTTGTGAGCTGGCCTAATGTACAAAGTATCTTAAGGGGCCCAGTAGTGCAGGTTCTTTGTTCAGCTGAGCTGGATGCTCTATGAGTTCCCCTGTGTGCATTATTTGGGTTCTTCTTTTGTAATTGGGACTTGACTGTTGACGCCCCGTTTGTGGGAGGGATCTCCCCTCTGACTTGCTACCAGTGAAGTTCAACCCAAATTTCTTCATGCCATCTGTCCAGTGGTCGGGGACTTCTTACCCCAGAGGCTGGGTCTGCCTTGAGTCTCATGTCTTGATTGTCCCTGCTCTGAGCTATACTTCCTCACAGAACTCACAGAACTAGTGCTTGCAGCCCCGGTGGCTTTTGCCTTACTGAGCAGTCTGGGAGGGGTCTGCTGTGGAGACCTAAACTGCTGTTTCCGACTAATTAGATATGTATGCATTGTTTTAAAAATAACCTCCAATGAATTTATTGGAGATTGAAAAATATTCTTTCTGCAAGTGTTCAAAAAGAAAGTTTCCTATACAACTTTGGAGGCCATA